TATTCCAGCGTGTGCGCCCTGCGCTTGCGCGCCCGGCAGACACCCCGCGGGCCCCCAGGCCACCTGCACAAGGCGCGCGACGGCCCCTGCGAGTTCGGTGAGTTGGGGTTCGGGCCCTACGGGGCTCCCGCGGGAAGAGAAGACGGGATCCCAACCCTGAGGGACGTGGGGTGAAGGATCCCCCTACCCAGCGATGGACAGCGCCGCCTGTGCTTCAGTTTCTCATTCGGAAACAGTATTTCTCATCTCTCTCGGGGCTCAGAAAGACTGGGGCGAGAATCCACATCTGGCACCCTCCCTTACCAGTCTCATGGAGACACCAGCCATGCAGCCAGTCGACTTTTTCCTGCTGCACCTTGTGTGTACTGAAGTACCTGCTGATGCGGTTACTTGCAGGCCTGGCATGTTTGTCCCCGGCAGACTGGGAGCTGGGACGGGGATGTTCCTATTGAGTCTGAGTTCCCCAGGTATCCAGAACCAGGTGGGTTGTTTAAATGGAAAGGAAGGGAAGGTGAGGATGCTGGAGAGGGGGAGTTCCAGGCTGGGGGACTCAGGAGTCACCAGGCCAGAGCACCAGGGCCCAGGTGTGGGGTGGAGCCCAGCCAGGGTCCCGAGGAAGCGCCCATCAAGGACAGGTAAGACCTTTGGAGGCCTAAGATCTGAAAAGATTATGGTGTCCTCAGGGGCAGAACCAGATTTTGTGGATCTAAGGCATATATAATTTCGAGGGCCCTGCCTTAAGTAGAGGAATAGAAAACTTATGAACTTCTAGGGATGTAGAAATTTAAGCTTCATTAACATTACAGTAAACCCATCTCTGAGTTGCCATGGTTGTCCACCCTCTATATGTACTTTTAAAAAACCTGACAAAAAGAAACCAAAACATTAGTATAGATGTCCAGTGAAGCACCTGGTTTGCATGAGCGTGGCCTGCCCAGTAGGTCTTGGAGAACTGCCCCTGTCTACTCTGCTTGGAGGGAGCAGTGGAGAGTTTAGGGTGAGTGGAGAGAAAGCAGGTGAATCCCAAGGAGCCTGGCCTAGACCTAGCGACTATATCTAGACTTAAATGCCAAAGTCAGTGTAATGGTTTCAGTGTCACAAAGGAAACCTGGGAACAGGGTGAAGCCTTTTCCAGGCCTTAAGAAGTGTCTAGTCGTATTTCCCCACAAGTATTCCAGGTAGATGTGGGTTCTTGGAGATGGGGCAGGAAGCCTCCAGTCCTGGGAAACAGAAATGGTGTGCAGCCCAAGTGAGGAGCTGAAGCAGCCCCAGGAGCACAGCAAGGTCACCATTGGCTGTTCCTAACTGGGGCTCCCAGGGGAGGCCAGAGCTGGCTGCAGGTGCTGCTGTGCTGTTGCTGGCTCCTGGAGTGGCCATGGGCTGTCCCCTGCCCTCTCTGGCCAAGCCAGCCCCTGTGGAGCCATTGTTGAAGTCCCTTCCACTTCCGAACAGTTCGTTTTTGTTTCTGCCTCTTGACACCTAAACAATCCTGTCTCTTTCCTTTTTCTAGTTCCTATCACTCGTTTTTTACAATCTGCTTCCCTCAGCAGTTAATTCACAGGCAATTCTCTTTGTCTTCAGACAGGTAACACTTTAACTCCACATGCAGGAGACGTAAGAAATGCTGACCAGGTCCTCTGACTCTAAAACGCTGCTGATGGTCTCAGATAATTTCTCCCCAGAGTGGTATTCTCTTCTTGAGAGAGAGACACCTTAAATACCTTCAGACCAAATCTGCTATTATGTGGAGAAGGAGACTGAGACTCAGCAAGGTCAGGGCGCTTGTCCAGGGTGGCCAGTAAAGACTGACCAGCTCTCAGGTCCCAACACCGTGTTCTGTGCTCTTTGAGGACAGGGCTGGATACTATTAAGTTAGGCAGATGGTGGTTGTCATGGTTACCGGAGTGAGGCCAGATGGCAGATGGAAACTCCACACCCCTAATTCGTTGAAAATTACCAAATGACAAGTAAATGTGACAGCCCCTCCATTCTGATCTGTGAGCTCCAAGGCCCACCCTAGGCACAGACCCGGGGAATAAAGATGTTCACGGGGCCAAACGGAAGCAATTCAGAAGCTGCTTTTCATGATCTCATTAGTGGCAGGCATCAGGCCTCCCTGGAGTTCAGCCCCCCTTCCCCACCAGCCTTTGTATCATCCACCACAGACCTGGGCACTGTTTTCCTGTCGCTTTCTGTCCCGAAGTGCTTGTGTAGCCCCTGCCCCTGAGTCCGGATACAACAAGAAGGTGTTGTAGAAGGGATGTTTCCTAGCCCAGGCAGCAGCTTATTCTGCGCTGCCCTCAAGCCATCTTTTATTCAGGAGACACAGCGGGAGCATTTTTTAACAATGCCCCTGGGGACTCTGGTTGAAGGAAAACAGACTGAGTCAGAGCAGGATTGTTCTGCTTCAATACTGGTGATAAAATCACCTCCCCCTAACTCCTTTCTGACTCTTCAGTACCAGTGTACCCCGACTTTAATGGAATGAGGCCTTGTAAGTATTTATGAGGTTGCCCACAGTGTGCGGAAATGTTCTTTCACATGCCTGCGAGGGGAATGGGGACAGTTTTCAGATTTCAAATTTGCCCCTTCCCCCCTGTGCTCTGAAACACCCACATGGCCTAATAATGAGAGTCGTCTTTTGATCAGTACATGTGTTGAAGGCCCGTGTATGAATAATTCTTTCTGCTGGAAATTGCTTTTACAGCCATCTTCTTACATGATTTTTACAACTACCCTGGAGAGGTCTCGTTCCCATTTAAATAGAAAGGAAAACTGAAGCCAAAGACGGGATTCCCTGCAGCCACCTAGCTAGTCCCTGCAGTGACAGGGCACCAACCTGGGTTTGTCTGGCTCTTTTCAGGTGGACACCATGCATGGCTAACCTGCTGGCAGCCTGATCAGGAAGGTGCTATACATTGACTAACCTTGAGTCTTGGCCATGACTCACTCGGGATCCACCTTTCTGTTTTTCCCTGAGGCTTGTTTGCTGTCCCTCTATTTAGCACTCACTGGATGATGGTGCCAGGAATAGCCTCACAGAAGGGGAAGCATCTGAGAGGAGCCTTGAAGGATGGGGAGGAAATCTCTAGACTGAGAAGGAAGACCCAGCATAAACTGAGGTGTGGAGGCCCTTGGGTGGGTGTGAACAGGGGGCCCATTGGGCTGCTGCTGCTCAGTAGGAAGACTGGGGAAGGAGACACCCCGCAGAGTAGTCTGGGATAGGCCATTGCAAGCTTTGAGTGCTTGTCTGAGGGGTGAAGCTTCATTCTGTACTAAATGATTGGTTCCATTCCTCACCTGTAAGGTGGTGTGGACTTAGTATTATGATGATGATTGTTGCTGTCATTACTTTCAAAGGTGGGATCATTCCATGTGTGTACCCTGACTATTTGTGAATGTTGGGATGGGATTGGGATTCTACAGACAACAAATTGATGTTATGTGTTGAATGATAAGTTAGATAGGAACGGGGTCCCAGGCCAGGGCATGGGTTCCAGAAGCTTCAATGAGCTGTTGATTGAGATCCTGAATCCTAGAAAATTCACCTTAGTTGAAATTCCAGCTCCACTCAGAAACCTCGGTCTGTGCTAGGCGTGTGTTACCAGGTAACCAGAAGAGGCAGCGAATGCCACTTTGTAAGAGGGACAAAGAAGGGGGGCTGTGCTCAAAAGCCTTTCATGCCGAGGGAGGGGATCTAGGCAGAAGCTGCAGGGTGCAGGATTAAGCTGTTCCTCGTTCCACATGGTAACATGACTATTAGCATAAATTATCAGGGCTATTCTGTGCGTTGATTATTAAACTCTTTGGTTGTATGCTCTTTAATACAAGCAGATGGGGTCTGGGCGGATGACTTTTGATATTCTTTCTTTCCCTAGCACCATTAACTTTAAAGAAATCTCAGAGGCATTTGGGAAGATCTTTTCATTCCTGCCATCAAGGACCAATTTAATCGACAGGGTAGGGGGACAGATTGCCACCCTATAATAATAAGATCGATCCCTTTCATGTGTACAGACCCACACAGTTAATAATGCAGTCACATCATGATGTCCCTTTATCCGAGGATGTGGGGCAGCAGTCATTATCTTCATTTGCAGATAAAGAGGAAATGATGAGCAGCTTGCCCAGGCTCGTGTGGTTTGCACCCAGACCCCTGGGCATTTGAGTCTCCCTCAGGTACTATTTGACCACGGCACAGTACGGCCTTGTGTGACCATGCGCACCAGGGTGACGATCTGTGTTACCTGCTGGTTAGCCCCTGGATGGGTAGATCTGTGCCATCTCAGCATTTGCAGGGCTGCTGTTGGCATAAGCAGAAGGAAACAAGTATTAGCAAGAAGGAGCTAGGGAGATGAAGCTGGCACATTTGCAGGCGGGGCTGGCCAGGAGCTGTCCTCCCTCCTGCAAGCCACATTATTTTTATCAAAGGCAAGTAGAAAGGAAAGCCCTAGTTCCTCCATCAGTGTGGTGGTTCTGGCACCAGTAAAATTGTGTGCCTGGCTCCCCAGAGGGAAGGTGTGCCATGGCCCCTGGTGCCTCCAGCCAAGGCCCCCAATAAGCTCTCTCAGCAGGGGACAGTGGAGGGTCTCAAGCAGGCAAGGCACTTTAGAGGAGACTGCCTTCTGATTTTTGCCCTCTGACTGCCTTACCCCGACTTTTCCCCTTGGCTGATTTTGCTTTGTATCCTTTTGTTGTAATAAGTCATAGCCTGAGTATGACTATATGCCGAGTCCTGAAAGTCCTTCTAGCAAATCCTTGAACCTGGGGGTTGTCTTGGGGTCCCCAACACAATCCCTCATGAATGGGTCTCTTATTCTAGAATGGAGTCCAAAAAGATAGCAAATGTTTCACTTTAGAAAATAGCACAGAAGGCCCGATGTGGTAGCTCATGCCTGTAATCCCAGAACTTTGGGAGGCCAAGGAGGGCAGATTGCTTGAGCCCAGGAGTTTGAGACTAGTCTGAGCAAGCTAGTGAAACCTCGTGTCTACAAAAGTAAAAATAAAAATAAACTTAGCTAGGCATGGTGGTGCACGCCTGTAGTCCCAGCTACTCAGGATGCTGAGGTGGAAGGGTTGCCTGAGCCCAGGAGGTTGAAGCTGCTTTGGCTGTGATCATCGTGATCATGCCAGGACACTCCATCCTGGGTGACAGAGTGAGACCCTGACCCAGAGAAAAGAAAATAGCTTTGGAAATTAATGAAATCAAGGTGCCTGGGTTTGGGTCCCTGCTCCTCAAGGCACCTAACCTTTCTGTGCTTTTTTTCCCCTCACCTGTGAGATGGAGATGAAAGCACCTATTTCACAGGGCTGGCATGAATGTATGTGGAAGGGTCCTTTAGGGAAAAGATAGGATGGTGTTGGCACAGTGATGAAGAAGAGCTTGTGTTCTGGAGCCAGGTTAGCTGGGCTTACAGCCTCACTCCAGCATTTAAGCCTGCGTATCCCTGGGCAGCGCCCCCATCTGGCAGTTGGTGAGATTGCTGGAAAGATCAAGAGATTCATACCTGCTTGTCAGACGGTGAGCACTGCGCTGGCCAGTGACATTATTACCATGACTACTATTATGGCAATTACTGATCATGAAGGGCTGTTGTGGATAAAAATACCTTAAATTTAAAATCAGATGTGCTACCTTTAAACACAGATTATTATGACAAGAGCAACCTGAGACTATTGAGGTAACAGAACTGTCCTGTATTTTGGTCATCGTGGTAGTTGCATGACTGTACACATTTGTCAACACCTAGAACCGCACACCAGAAAGAACAAATTGTGCTTTATGCAATTTTAAACATAAATAAATAAATAAAATTTAAAATGGCACTTTAACGTCCCTTGAAAAGCAGAGGGCTCTTTTGTAAAAATCATTGGTATTTTTCTGCCACAAAATCAGGGGCAAAGACAGTGTTTGCAAAGCAGTCTTTCTCAGTGGGGATTATTGAAGGAGAGGGAGGAAATGGGAGGAGAGAGAAAGATGAATTGTGATTTACCAGTTTATTCATTTAGGCCTGAAAGAGACTGATGAAATCGCATTTAAAATTTATGACTTTACATGAAGGAAAGTAAAACACGTTGATTGAGTGTCCCTTTGGAACACACCGAGGGCTTTGGATAAGAGGCAGTTCTGATTGTCAGCACTGCCAGCCACTTGAGGAAGCCTCGTTGTCGTCCCAGCGCCCGTGTGGCTGAGGAGGCGCTGGCTGGCGGGACAATGTGAATAAATTAGACTCTCTTTGTTGTCGCAGATGGGACTCCTGCTTGGTGTTGTGGCTCTTTGTGGCTGTCAGGCAGTGTTAGAAGTCTAGGAACTCGGTTGGGGGTGGGGGGGCGGGCTTTGGCTGCTTGCAGGCGTGGGGGTTGGGCGTGATCCTTTGGAGGGCAATCGGTGGGCACAGCTGAAGGAGTGGGCGGAGTCGGCAGAGGGGGAGGCAGGCATCCTGAGATGGGAATGGCAGTCCCTGTATTCACTTCTCTGGAGGGCTGTGGGGCTCCAGCGGACAGCCTTGGGGGATCAACAGGTGGGAGTTACAAGGAGGCGGGTCTTCAGTCTAGGTGGGGACGGGCTTTCTTACTGCAGGACTTTCTTATAGGTGGACCAGAGGATTAAGAAAATTATCTCATTTCCATTCCTCTAAGGATGCAACGGCCTGGCTCTAAGGGTAGTGAGCTTTCTGTCCCTGGAGGCATGCAATGGAAGCTGAATGGGCATGTCACAGACAGTAAGGCGCAGAGGAGTTGGGATACAAAGGGTCTCTGCAGTTTGAGACTTTCTGGCTCCAAGACAATTTCCCAGAGAGTTATTGGCACTGGCTTGACAGTGTCTGTTTTCTGTCTGTCTGGAGAGACTAAACCAGTCCCTCCTGCATGTCTGGGTGTGACCCAGCCCACTTTCCCCACCTTCTGTCTCCCTCCCATGGCTCTCCTTTGGTATAACAGCCTCATGCAGCTGGGCGAGGGCCCTTTCCCTCTCTGGGCAGGCCTGTGGAGAGCAGCACGGCTGTCCTTGTATCACTAAGCAAAGCCCTAGGAGTTGTAGACTTGCTGCTGGATGGCTTCAAAATGTATGTGTTTGCTTTTTAATTTGTCGTGTTTCTTCATCCAGTCATCAGTTTGAAGACGGGGTCCTGTTCCTGGCCCTCATTGGCATGTCATGTCAGCTTAAACCATCACTTCCACACTCATCTCATGGTTATATCACCTCAACAGCCTTGGGAAGCAGGAATATTATCCCCATCTCATGGATGAGGAGACCTAAGTGCATGCATTCCCAGGCCAGGCCTCTGTACTGCACCTTGCTGAGACATCAGGCAGCTGCATGCCAGGGGGTGCTGAGCTTGCCATCCAGTGCAGGTGAGACCAGGTAGAAAAGCCTGAACCACAAGGCAGGCTGTGATTCAGCAGGTCAAGAGGTGCAGACCACTGGTCCTAGACGAGGTACCCTTCCTGAGATGGGTAGGATGGGTGAGATGTCCACCATCCCCTGCAGAAGGAAGGCGGGGTGTGGAGGGGCTGGGTCCTGAGGCTGAGGTGGCTAGACTCAATTCTCACAGTCCAGTGCAAGCAGAGCAGACACCAGGCACAGGGAGGAAGGCAGAGTGTGGAGTAGATGCTGAGAATTTCTAACTCTGGATCCTGTCCAGAGAGCCCACACCCTGCCTCTCCACGCTGGGATGTTCTGGTGGCTTAGAACTACATTTGCCTGATTCCCTCACTCGCACAGGCTCACTGCATCAGTCCCTTCACTGGGTTTCCAGGTCTGCAGTTTCACTCTTGGGGGTGGAGGCATGGAGGGGTGGGGGAAGGTGGAAAGGGGGAGCCTTGGGGAGTTTGCATCCCACACATGCAAATGGGCCTCTTGAATGGACCGTAGGGGGTCTCAGCTCTGGGTGCCTGCAGCTGTTCTGCCTGGCACTCTTCTTCTCTCTTGCATGAGGAAGGAGAAAAGCCCATCTGTTAAAAGACTCTGCTGTTGGTGGTGTGACACCAGCTCCTCTCAGAGTCTGCCACCCTGTCCTGTAGTGCAGCAGATGGCAGCCAGGGACCTAGAAGGGGCCCCGGGAGGGAGTGTGCTGAGACCCGAGCTCTAACATCAATGTGCTGGGGGACTCTGGGGAGTCACCCTTCCTCTCTGGACGCCTATTTTTCCTGTTTGTGAAACAAAGATGGCAGGCCAGGAAGCCATTAGACATCTTTCCCAGTCTAAGAAAAACTCTCTTCTAGGATTCCTGTCTACGAGTGCATTTCCAGTGTGCTCATCTTGCATCAGGAAACCCCAGCAGGCTCTTGGCAGGCAGCGGAATTTTAGAGGTGGGGCGCCTGGAAACTGGCAGGGTAAAAGTTGTGTTCCCTTGTCTCCTTCTCTCAGCTCCTGTGGTCGTTGTTCCTCCTCAGAGTGTTCACAATGTCACCGGGGCGCAGGTGTACCTGTCCTGTGAAGTGAGGGCTGTGCCGACCCCAGTCATCACGTGGAGGAAGGTATTTCTATCTAGAAACATGCACACATGCATGCGTGTGTGTGTGTGAGAGAGAGCAAGGGAGAGAGACAGAGACAGAGAAAGACATGGCTGGTAAATGTTTTCCTTTATAGGCTGCCAGAGGATTAAGAACAGATAACTTATTTCCACACCTCTGCCTCAAAACTTTTACCACAAAGCCCTCCCCCACAAAAGGGGGTGTTGCAGTCCTTCCCGTGACATTTGCCTTCTTGGCCACTTAGGGGCCAAAGAACTCTGCTGTTACCCAGCCTGCAGCAGCTGCGTTGACCTTAGAGCCTACTTCTCTGTGGCGCTGTGTTTTTAAATAGACCTGGCTGGTGGCAGAAGACCCAATCTTATTCCAAAACCAAGTCTTCCTGATGCCTAGTTTTTGAGAGACTGTCAGGGATCATAACATAAGTTGTCCCCTTATCTCAAACGCCCTGAGACTGCTGCGAAATCTTGAACTGCTTCTGCAAGATAGTGGTGATGGTCACATCTTTACCGTCCAGCAGGGGACGCTATCTGTACGTGCATTTCATTTGAATAGGCATACGTGCTGTTCTTGTGTTTCAGCCTTTGGAAGGGGGTGGGGAGGCTTGTGGGGAAGAGGAGGAAAAGAGGAGGAGGAGGAAGAGGAGGAGGCTTGTGGGGTGGTCCTTATCCAGAAATACTTGTTTCTAAACCCCTTCTGGTGTTTCTGTTCTCTGTAGGTCACACAGTCCCCTGAGAGCACCCAGGTGCTTGAGGAGCTGCCTGGGGACCACGTCAATATAGCTGTCCAGGTGCGAGGGGGCCCTTCTGACCACGAGGCCACAGCCTGGCTCTTGGTGAGTGTTTAGAATAATTAGATACTATTGATTGACCCTTATAAACCACCCTTGCATTTCTACAACACACTATGCATTTCAGAGCAGTTCTTACCCATTTCTCACTGGACCCTCCAGTCACTGGGCATGTCTCTTGAGAGTGTAAGTGAGCTGCTGTGATGGGTGTCCATGTCCTAGTCTCCGGAACCCGTGGATATGTTAGGTCGCATGGGGGGGGGGGCTAAGCTTGCTAAAAAAACTGTAAACTAAGGGGCCTTATTCTGGATTATCCAAGTGGGCTCAGTTTAAAAGTGGAAGATGGAGGCATAAGAGTCAGAGGCAGAGTGATGTGACGTGAGGAGGACTCCACCCACCATTGCTGGTTTTGAAGATGGAGAGAGGGGCCACAAGCCAAGCAATGCCAGCATCCTAGAGAAGGCAAGAAAACAGATGATTCTCCCCGAGGGCCTTGCAAAAGAATGCAGCCCTGCTGACACCTTGATTTCAGCCCACTGAGACCCATTCAGGCCTCTGACTTCCAGAACTGTGGATAATAAAGTTGTTTATTTTAGGCCACTAAGCTTGCATTTGTTACAGCAGCCATGGGAGGCTATACACCTGCCTAAGATCACCTGGCTGATAAAGCAGGAAGATGGCACATTCTAGACTGCCTCCAGGGCTCTCTTACATCACTTGTAATATCTTTGCTAAGATGAGGAAATGCCAAGTGTTTGAAAGCGTGATGGAGTGAGGATGGGGTCCACACTGGGCTAGCCACTATACCTCTCTAGCCTCTGTTTCCACCATCGTAAAAAAGAGGACTTCAAACTGAATGACCTCCGAGGGCCCTTGTGGTCCTAACAGTCGGTGGCTTACCTGTGAGTCTTCTGTAAAATGAAGAAGTAATCCCCATCTTTCACCCACGACTGGCAGAACGAGGTGGTGTGTGTAGACTGCTCTATGGTCTGTAGAGTGAGTTAGTTGACAGAGACAGTTGGTTAGAACAAGAGACAACAAACGAGAAGTGAGCTGGTTGTGGGTCTCTTAAGCCTTTCCAGGAGGCTCCCTGAGGGTGTCCTCCTTATTTCACGCACAGGGCTGGGAGACTTGGTTACTCTTCCACCCAGCTGAGAGACCCAGAATGCAGCCGGGTGTATGGCTTTTTCAAATCAAGTACAGTTCCTCATTTTCATATGAGAAAAGGGGGTTGGGAAAAAGGTTATCTCTGGTGGTATTTTGTAAAAGCTGCCCCTGTAGGGAATACTTTATGGGTCAGTAGATTTTTTTCTTCTTTTAATTTGAGATATTTTTCTTAAAATCTATACCTGTCACCTTCAATTAAAGGACCAGGTAGTTCACAGTAAAAGGCAGGAATGCAGAAAATCATTAAAATGAGAGCCACGACAGGGAGAGTGCCCTTCAAGAGAAGGAAATTTGACTTTGTACCCTTGGCAGCCAAAGCAAGAAGAGAAATAGGGCGAGTTCTGCCTTACTCTGGAAAGGAATAAGCATGCGGGCTTGTTATTAAGAGCTAAATAAGGAAATCATTTTGCTGTGCTGTATATAACTGTATGAACTTGGTTGTTGCATTTCTAGATCAATCCTCTGAGAAAGGAAGATGAGGGAGTGTACCAGTGCCATGCGGCCAACGTGGTGGGAGAAGCCCAGTCCCACGGCACGGTGATGGTCCTAGATCTGAGTAGATACAAGAACTTCCGCTTCCCGGCTCCAGATGACCACATGTGACAGAGAAATGTACATATTTTAAGTCATCTTTGGTATTTTTACTCCCATGTCACAAGAAGTTTGAAGTGGCATATAAGATGTGTAATAAAAAAGAAAAACACATAAATGGAGACAATCAGAGAGAAAGCAAAGGAGAGTAAGAACATAATAAGATTAGCAGGGAGAATCTCTGCTATGTTTTGCACACATTTCACCCTGAGCTTCCTAGCATGCAAAGTCCTTCTGCCTCAGCTTCCCTAGTAGCTGGAACTACAGGTGTGCTCCTCTACACCTGGCTTGTTTTTTGATTTTTTGTAGACTTGAGGTCTTGCTATTTTGCTTAGGCTAGTCTTGAACTTCTGGGCTCAAGCAGTCCTCCTGCCTCGGCCTCCCAAAGTGCTAGGATTATAGGCGTGAGCCACCATGCCTGGCCCAGTTGTGGCTTTCTATTTCTGAGAAAATACTTCTGTGTCCTCCTAGAGAGGGCTCTGGGAGAGGTAGCAACCAGTGTGATTATAACAGCATATATGTGAAAACACTCTTGCGAAGAAGAGGGCGGAACTTCTTTGTGTGTTCCAAAGGCCCTTCCTGGTGGGCAGCTCTGCCATCCTCTAGCCCTACCTTCTTGTCCTCAACACTGTATGCCTTTTTTTTTAAATTTTAAAGATGTGGGGTACAATTCAGGGTTAGGTATACAAGTGTTCATTATGCATCAACCCTTGTTGATGAGCTGTGCCCCTCCCTCCCCTGGCAGTTTCCCTCAACTGCCGATCCCACCCCCACCCCTACCCCTGGGCAGTTTCCCACCACTGCCAATCCCTTTCTTATAGTATTATGATAATTGTTCAAGGTTGTATGCCATTTAGCAACACATCTCCTGGGGGCCAGGGAACGGGGACAGAGAGAATCTCTGCATCTTCTCTGGCCAGGAACTCTTAGTGCTCATAGTCACAGGTGACAGCAGAGGTTACATCTGTCCCCCACCTACAGGTGAACTGTGAACTCAGAAAATGAATCACTTGCTGTACAACATCTCAAAAACTTTGCTGGTTCACAGCCACAGGCATTTACCCTTGCTCCCGTTCCATGTCACAGTCATGGTTGGCTGTGGTTCCGCCCCACTCGCCCTCTCATTCGGGACCCAGTTGGAGGTGCTGCCCCAACGTGGAACATGTCTGTTCTGTGCAGAAGGGACAAGCAAGAGGCCAAGCCGAGCACACTGTCGCATTTAAAGCTTCTACTCAGGTGTGTTGGGTGTTGTGCCTGCTGACAGTCCATTAGCCAAAGCCAGTCATCACACTGCCACATGCAATGTGGATGGAGTGGGAGGTGTGTGCCCTTCTCACCAGAGGCAAAGGGCAGGGATGTATGATCCTTACCGAGTCGGGGGAGTGGTTGTGAACAGGCACCATCACCAAGGCTGACCAACAAGTGCTTAATAGAGCAGGAAAAGCTAGAAACAAGTCTGAGAGTTTCTTAAAAGCAGAAAGATTTTGCTATGGTTTTAATCATTTTTTTAGCCACTATTATTGCGTGTCTTCTGGGTCAAGGCCTTATACAGGTCTGTAGGGGATGCTCAGAAAAAAACAAAGAGTGAACATCATGTGAACATCATTATAACACAAGGAATGTGAGGTTAAGGAATGGGGTGGGAGGGGCACTGAGGAAAGAGAAGCCGCCTAAAGCTGGGGAAGATGAAGGCTTGCTGGAGAAGTGGCATTGGGTGGAAGGCTGGGTACATGTGAGAAATTAGAGGTCTCAGAAATAGGGAGAAAAATGGGAAAGTGGTAAAATCATGAAAAGGGATTCAGCAAAGAGTTAGAAGATCAGATTTTTCTTTTTGAGTCAAAAGTCTCCCTCTGTTGCCCAGGCTGGACTTTGGTGGCACACTCATGGCCACCACAGCCTTGACCTGCTGAGCTCAGTTGATCCTTCTGCCTTAGCCTTCCAAGTGGCTGGAACCACAGGCATGTGCCACCACACCTGGCTAATTTTTTGATTTATTGTAGAAACAAGGTCTCGCCAAGTTACCCAGGCTGGTCTCGAACCCCTGGGCTCAGGCAATCCTCTCGCCTCAGCTTCCCAAAGTGCTGGGATTATAGCATGAGCCACCGCACCCGGCTGAAGATCAGATCTTAAAGCTGTCTTCCTGATAGTTTTTGTTTTATATGATATAGCATGTTTCATGTTTAAATACATTATATATCTATAATTTTTAAATGCATATGTATTCCAAGACAGAAATGATTCTGAGATGTGAGTGCAGTCTATTATAGATGATATTTCAAAAGGAAGCCATGATCAATCATGGAATTTTAAGACCATTTCTGCTGCCCAGGTCTTAAGTTCCCTCTGCAATACATAGTATTTTGCATGCATATCTCTAGGGTTATGAAACTCACTACAACCAGATAACCATCTTTGGATTTTCCAATGATTGAAAAGTTTTGGCTGGGTGCCGTGGCTCACACCTGTAATCCCAGCTCATTGGGAGGCCAAGGCAGGAGGATTGCTTAAGACCAAGAGTTTGAGACCAGCCTGGGCAAATATCAAGATGCTTATCTCTGCAAAAAAAATATTTTTTTTTAAATTATTTTTTTAATTAGCCAGGCATAGTGGCATGTGCCTGTATTCTTAGTTGTTTGGGAGGCTGAAGCAGGAGGTTCACCTGAGCCGAGGAGTTTGAGGCCACTGTGAACTATGATTGCACCACAACAGCCTGGACAACAGAGTGAGAGACCCTGCCTCTAAAAAGTAAAAATAAAAATAAATTGCTAAGATATTTAAAAAAAAAATAAATGTTATGCCGGGCTCGGTGGCTCAGCCTGTAATCCCGCGCCTTTGGAAGGCTGAGGTGAGTGGATTGCCTGAGCCTGCGGGTTCGAGACCCGCCTGGGCAGCGAGACCTCATCTCTACAATAAATCAAAAAATCAGCCGGGCATGGTAGCACATGCCTGTAGTTCTGGCTACTCGGAAGGCTGAGGCGGAAGGATCGCCGGAGCCCAGCAGGCGAGGCTGCGGTGGCCGGGAGCGGCCACTGCACTCCAGGCTGGGCGGCAGAGTGAGACTCCAACTCAAAAAAAAAATAAAAAAAATAAAAATAAATGTTCTCTGTCATATTAAGCTGGAGTGTGCCTCTCTGAAACATCCACCTGTTGGCCTTAAATGTACTTTCTGGGTCTCCACAGGGCTCCTCCGCTCCCCACTGGCACCACTCCTTGTTGGGGAGAGATTTGAGGTTAGGGGTCATCTCCTCACCTTCCGTCCAACATCTAGTTGATTGCAACAGAGCAGGCTACTTTTATCTAATTCTTCGCCTCTTTTCTTCCTAGGGTCTTAGAAACATGGATCACAGGATGATGGAGAAGTCAAGCAATGGATTTTTGTGCTTTGTGAAGAATTGGAAAAACTGTTTGTGGATGACCCCTTTTGTATGTTTCTAAAAATTAGATGCAAACTAGATTTGTATCAGGTGTAGTTTTTAGCAGGGCAAGTTTTGGGAAAACAGACATGCATGTAGCTTTTTTTGATACTTTTGAAATGAATTGCTCCATGAGAATTCTTTTTAATTCTCTCTCCCAGGGTGAGCATGTAATGATATGTTTGTAATTCTTAAGGGCTCAGAGCGAGGCGTATATCAACTGACTCTTTACCTCATCTGTCTGTGACCTTTTAGTGGGTGCTCTGTGACTTAGTGTGTGTTGTAGAAGGAGGGAGGCAAGTCCGGCTTTCCTCTGCCTGACCTTAACTTGCTGTGTGACCTGGGCAGGACTCTCTGGGCCCTGATCTCGTCGGTTGAGAATGTGGTCTTGGGACTAGCTATTACCAGTGTCTCTTCTAGCCCTGGCATCGTAGAGTAAGATGGCCCTGTGAGAAAAATGCAGGAAGTGTGATCTTAGCATTCTTTTAAAAATGGCATTTCTCAAAAACAAATTTCATGGCTTCATACTAGGGTGTGGACAGCTGGCTGTAACTCTTCTATTCCTGCTTTTTTTCCCGCATTTTAAAGAGATTTAGTCCTAGATGGCATGCTTTGCAAGACTCAGGAGCCTCTTGGCTGAGCCTTTTGGGATCCAAAACATCCACTTGTTGGTCCAGCATTCTCTAGCCAGTGGATGGTGGAGACCTGACTTGTTAAAAGGGAGTCAGGTAGTTATTTCTGGGCTATGGAATTAGAGTGTAGTAGAATGCCTTTCACTTATAGATATTAGACCTTACCCCAAATTAAGGATTTTTTTAAATCAAAAAAAAAAAAAAAGAAAAAATATTTACTATCTGATCTTAAAAAAATGAGGTCTCTAGGCAGTTACAATTTTTTAAAGTCAGAATTGGGAATCCCTCACTGTGGACTGTCCTTTGTGTTCATGAAGCTTTTTCCCAGCTGTGATCCCAGCTCTGTGAGGGTGAGCAAGGCAGGTATTTATGTCTATCCCTTTTGCAGATGAAGAGACTAGGTTTTGACAGGTACAGCTACTTGCCCAGGGTCTGAAGACCTCTGAGAACTCAGGTCACCTGGCCCTCCTCGGCATCCTCTATACTCTGTGGTGCTGCTTCTCACGGTAATCCCCAAACTCTGGAAAGGTAGATGATGCTAATTCCACTGATTTCAGGTAACTCTCTTGAAGCTTCAGTCCCACTTTCAGAGCATGCTCTCCTGCCGCTCACGGTGAGCACTGGTTTTGGAGTCTTTGTGGGAGCTGAATTTTCTGCCTTTAAGCCTGGCCACTCCATATCTAAAATATGGGGATGGTATCACCCTGGTGTACTACCCACCAGAAGGAGACTGGCCTAAGAATCTGGAAATAAAATAACTATTTGCATATTTGTCCCTTGGCTCAATGTGTGACCCTGACAAGACCCCTTCACTTTCCGGGCCTCCGTGTTCTCATTTGAATCAGAAGGGAATGAAACTAGATGAGTGGTTTTTCAAACTATAGAATACTGGAAGCTCTCTTGAAAACAATCAGTTGAAATTGATCACACTGGAAGCTGCAGTTGCCTGTTGGGAGTTAGGGCTGCCTGGGGACCTGCTCACGTCCCCTCCCCACCCGACATTTCCTCTCTCTCCCTTCTCCCTCCACTGTGATTTGTTTCCACGTGGGAGGGACTGCAGTTAGTTCCCCAGTGATTTGAATAGTTGGGAGATGATTTGGTCAGATCCTTAGTGAAATGATGTGAGAAGGAATAGGGATGCCCTGGCTCTGGAGAAGGTAGTGGAACAACAACATGCACCTGCTAATAATCACATTGTGCAGAGCCAATTGACTCGCCTAGAAGTTACCTAGTCAAAAATAAAGGGCTGGAGCTAGACCCAGAGAGCTGGGTGGACGGGGCCCATGCTGAAAGTGCCGAGCGCACAAACTGAGTGGCACTGGCCTTAGTGTCATAATTTTGTGCAGAAGTGAATAAATTAATGTCACACTGTCTGGAATTTTCACCAAAACCAAAAAGGTGGATTCATATGATTGCTCCAACCTCGTGGCTTTTCAGATGTGAGTGCCCAGAGACCTCTTTAGGGTGAAGGAAACACATATCGCGGCCGTGGTTACCATTTGGAGACATGGCCCCCACCACCATGCCTGGATTTTTCTACCCTGTTTAACATATGTCATGATGTCACGACCTCTGCACCCTGGAAATAAATGTTTGTAAGGATAGTCTTTGTGGTCTCTTTGCCTACGAACGCTGCTGGAGGTGGGCCCAGATCCCCCTGTATTTCATTATCATCCCTCATGCATCTTGTCTTTTTACACTTGCCCGGATCAGCTACTTCCATCTAAACCCTCCTTACATCTCACAGCCCCACTGGTCACCTTGCCTGCAATTTTTTTTTTTTAAGTCAGTGTCTCACTCTGTCACCCAGGCTGGAATGCAGTGACATGCTCTCGGTCACTGCAGCCTTGACCTGCTGGGCTTGGGTGATTCGTCTACCTCAGCCGTCCAAGTAGCTGGAACCACAGGTGCGTGCCACCATGCCCAGCTAATTTATTGACTTATTGTAGAGACGAGGTTGTAGAAACCCTTTCCTTCCCTCCCCTCCCTGATCCTCTCCTCTCTCTTCCCTTCCCTCCTCCCTGCCTTCCTTCTTTCTCTTTTTGAAACAGGATCTCACTCTGTCACCCAGGCTGGAGTGCAGTGGCACTATCAAAGCTTACTACAGCCTAAAACTCCTGAACTCAAGCAGTCCTCCCACCTCAGGCCTGAGCGAAGGCTACAGGCTACAAGCATAGCCAGCTAATTTCTTTCTTTTTAAAAAAATTTACAGTCGAGGTCTTGCTATGTGGCCCAGGCTGGTCTTGAACTCCTGCCTCGGCCTCTCAAAGCGCTGGTATTATAGATGTGAGCCACCGCACCCAGCCTTCCTTCAGGTTTTATGATAAAATTAATCCTTATGTCTTTAAAAACACTGCCCTAGGGATGGATGTTGCAGGAGAAATGAATAAGAACGAATAACTTGAGCGACAGTAAAATCTCCTCTAATGAATTTTCTCCTTCCCAGCCTTTGTCAGGGCCTCTTGAACATTAAATCAGAGAATGATTATTCTACGATATTTTAATTAATTAAGGAAAACCCAAGTGTTCTGGTGTCTGCAGTTTAATGAATGCTGAACATGGGAGCCCATCACCCAGGGCTGGATTGGATACCAGCACTTGCCCATGCTCTGCCTCAGTGGGGCTGACTTCTCTCTCCTGGTGTGAACATCTTTATGGTCAAGGCTGCCTTTGAGTTCAGCCTCGACCACATCCAGGGGGTGAGAAGTGTGTAGTGCCAGAAGGCAGAGTTACCTGTGTTGCCTTTCACTATGGCTGCCTCTTCCTCATCCCTCCATCTCCCCATGACATTAGGGAAAGGTTGTTTGTCATGGGAAGGAAGAGTGAAACTCCTTAGCACTAGGGATAGGGGATGGGGACAGAAGCCTCTCTTCTCCATGCATAGTCTACTCATCACACATCTGCAAGAGCACCTTCTAGGCTCCCATTGTTGCAAAGTATTGAGGGATCTATTGTGGCTCACAGGCCCCAGAGTCTGAATCCTGACACAGCTTGTCATGCCAGACACAGACCTGTCTTTGTGCTACTGGAGGTGCATGCAGCTGTCGCCTGGGTAGAATGGATATTTGCTTTGGGGTTGGTAGGCCTGGAACCAAAGTTGAGCCCTGCCATGGTCTGCAGGCCTGGGTCACTTCCCTTGACTCTCTGAGCCTCCATTTCCTCATCAGTGTGGAATCCCTGTCCTGGCCTGCTGCTCTGAGGACTCCATGAGCAGATGGCCACTCCCTATCCATTTTATAGGGGGCATGGAGGGCTGCATTCCTGTGGCAGAGGAAGGGAGAAACATTATATACATGCTTGGAGTATGTGAGAGAGACGGTCTAGAGATGAGGAACAAAAAAAATATTAGACCTGTTTCAGGTCACAAGAACTGCTACAGGACAAGACTAAATGAAGGGTGCCGTGAGCTCCAGAGGGCCAGAGACTGCTTAAGTGAATTTAGAAAAAGTGTCCTGGAGAAGGTGGACCTTAAGCAGGGCTCCAAGAAAATGGTCTGGATTTGGAAACGAAGGAAGTAAGGAGAAAGGAACAGCATGAGCAAGGCTGGAAGGGAGGTAGCAAACGGCCCATGAAAGGAATCAACGCTAAAAGTGTCCTTGTGAGAAGAACTCATGTCGGCATACCTGCCTGCAGGTGTCATGTGCAGCAGAACTGGGCCAGTTGCCGCCAGAACCCAGGGCCCTCCACAGTGTCAAACTGTGCTGTCACCACAACACTTCCAGCCTCCCCTTGTACCTAGGTCAGGTCAGGTGATTTTGCCATTGAAATGTGAGTGGATGTGATGTGTTTATACAGGGCCCAGGGCTCTAAGAAGTAGCTGTGCCCTTTTGGTACTTTCTTCCCCATTCACCAGCCAACAGAGGTCTCTGAGGCCCTGGGCAGAGGTTCTGACCTGAGTCCTTAGACCCTCGGGAGTCTATAAATAGATTAATGAGTTCTATGAACTCCTTGAAAGTATGCAAAATTGTGTGTGGGTGTGCATGTGTGCATTTTTTTCCTGGTGAAAAAGTCTATTGCTTGTATTAACTTCTCAAAGGAATATAAACATAAAAATGGTCAAGAACCATAGACAGTGGAGCCACCAGATGGAAGGAACCTGTGTCCCTTCATGTGGAAGGAAAATGCCGATTAGCCTGATACCTGCTTTAGATTATGACAAACAAAAAGTAAGTCATTGTTGTGTTGAGCCCTCACACTGAGGGTTTCTTTGTTGTGGCAGCTAACATTATACTAATACACGTAGGAAGGATGCTTGGCAGAGAGCCAAGAGGTCTACAGTGTAGGTCATACTCTAGCACCACAGAGCTTGCCACCTTGTGACCTTGCTATAAGCACTTCTCTGGCTAAGTGAGGTGAGGAGCACTTGAGGCTCTCAAAAGTCCCTGTAACATAACTTCTTGTTGTTGTCCCTTGAAGGTCTTCCCAACTCCAGGATTAAAATACAGATCACTGGGGCCTGGGGAGGATTAAGTGGTGCTCTCAACCCAGGGCAGTCAGGCTTCTGTCCTCAACCCTCCTCACAAACTGCTCCTACCAAGGTCTCCAGAGACTCCTGGTGATTGTAGCCAGGAGTCACTCTCCGTGCTCCTCCTACTTGATCTCTTGGGAGCATTTGATCTCTTG